TCATTAAAAAACGCTACGAATTAATTCCAACACTTAATATGTAGTATTACTTCAAGATCTTCAAATTATATCAATAAAAGTAGATTTTTACAAAGCAAGAGATTTCTTTCTCTCTTGTAATCAAGTTTCTTCAAGCATGCTAAGATTATCTATTATTAATCCCCGACAGTATCCACGTCGCCAAAGTTCAAATACATCGAAGATGTTCCGCTTGATGTTCGTAGACATTACGGATGAATCAGCACAATTGCTGACTGGCACTTCGTTGCAATCGAATTTAGTAGCATTCAAGGTAAAGACGAATCAGTGCGCATACCTGTATCTCAATGTAAAGACAGGGCCGAAAGGGAGAACTAGTTCGTAACTAGTTTCTCTATCACGACTGTGGCTGCGTGTCCTCGAGTGAGAACAATGTCGATACACATATATCTTTCACCAATAACGAGCCAACGCGCAAAAGGAGGCATGGACTTGCATGTCGACCGGAGTTAGGACGATATCCCGAACTTACTCAGGAGAAAGTTTCGGCAAGGAGGCGGACAGAAGGACTGAGGAAGGTATAGACCAGAGCATGACAGACGAGCAAGTACCGAGTTGACAGGGCAGAAATAAGAAAAAACTAAATACGCGCTTATCTTTCCACTTTGCCGAATTTATATCCAATTAAAGGTCAAAAGAGCTCGGCTCTCTTAATTGGTGCTAGTGCTCCGAATCGATTAAATTAATCACTTATTTATCAAGACAGCTATTGTAACTATTTCCTGCAAATAATGCGCTATTAACGGAGTTTATATCTTTTTTAATTAAAAAAGAGATGAGGCAGAAAGTTTGTTAATACTAAAGTATGTGTGTGTGTGTGTATATATACGGTGTGGTAACTTAAAATAAGATGTACTTCTATGCATATTTTATGTTTATCTCTTTCTGTTTACAGACATAAAAATTTATATATATATATATGTAGTTCCCTAAAATGGAGATTTGATACTTGAATATTGTTGAAATCATAAAATATAAAAAAATTATAATAAATTCAGCAAATAGGGGGAATTAGCGCTGTAATACGTGCGCAATCAATTTTAATATTATTGAATTGTATCTTAATTTAATTATTGATTTGTAATATACATGTTTCGGCTAACTTTTTAGCCATTCTCAGTACGTACAGATAATTCCATGTGGTAATTCGCATGATTTTCTTTATTTTTAATATTCGTATAAATAAGGAAAATCATGCGAGTACCGTAGCTTAATTTTATACATCTCAACGCTTACATTTCCACATAGAATTATCCGTACGTACTGAAAATGGCTAAAAAGTTAGCCAAAACATATATACTACAAAGCAATAATTAAATTAGGATACATACAATCAATAATATTGAAATTGATTGCGCACGTATTACAGTGCTAATTCTCTATTTGCCGAATTTATTATATTAGGTGTTGAAATTAATTCGTAGCGTTTTTAATGAAAGAATGTTATTTATTTCACATGAGCATTAAAAAATACATTAATGAAAGTACTTCCCATCACTTGTAAAACGCTACGAATTAATTCCAACACCTAATAATTTTTTTATATCAGGGAATTTTTTTATCATTCATATAAAATATAAGAAAAAAAATGTTTAATATTGAAAATTTTATGAATTTTTTATGCATTTTATAATTAATCTATATTGACAGATTGTATTTGCGTGAATTTCAATTGAAAAATATTATGTTAAAACGCACGGTAATTGGATGTCAAGATTTATTGACTTTGACAGCAATAAATTAAAAGAATTATAGAAATGCTATTTCCAGATAGGATCTATTTTTTCCAACTTTTTTATGAGTACTTTGAATATATGATACGGTAACTCAAAATAAAAAGTATATATTTTACGTGTCGATTTATAGGTTTAGGAGTTGAAATAGTCCCCCGATACTAAATCGAGATATTCTATTACGATTGTGAATATCACCGAAACCATAAAAAATATGAAAAAATATTTTTAAATGTTGAAGTTTTATGAATCTTATTTTTATGCATCCAGATTTACCGAGAAAATCAAGCATTTCTCTAAGAAGTAATAGTTGAAATAAATCGCAGAAATGAGTTTCAATTAATTAAATTCAGTATCCATACAAACGTAAAAGTACCTGTCATTATTTAAAACGAATGTAATTTTTTCGCAAAAAATCTCTTCTGCGGGCTGAGAAATACTATTGAAGATTCTTAAGGAGCAGAAAGATATCATCGAATTTTTCTCAATAATAGTTTTCGACAGTAATCTTTTTATTGACTGTCCATTTTCAACGGAAAGAGTCTTTCTTTTCTTGAAACTAGTCATGCGATCGAAGTAACTTTTATTAAAAAAGAATGTAGAGAAGAATCCAGTATTTATTTGATAAAATAATATCAAGTTTTCTTCGATGGAATTAGATTATAAGAAGAGATCAAGGTTTTGCTCGGATGAATTACTAAGATCGGATAGCGAGTGTTATTTCTATGAGAGAATCGAATATGCACTTTCCATGAGACGCAATGAAACGTAGTTTTCGCGATAGATAATGCACAAAACATGAGCTTGTTTAACATAAATTTAAATCGTGAAAAAAAAATTTACGCAAAAATATTTTAATATACTTAAAATACATGCATTTGAATGTCACATTTGCACTTCGTTATTTGACGATGGAATCTTAGAAAATCGAAAATGTGAACACGAGTAAAATACCAAAAGCACTTAAATATATTCGTACACGGAGAGAATTTTTTCTTAGAGTTTAGCTTGAAAATATGATAGTCAATGGGACAATATTGTATTTCGAAGAATGTTAATATAAATCTCTCATTTATTAATAAAACTACAACAAAGTATAAAATAAATTTGATTAATTTTACTGAAGTACATGATAAAAATTTTTTAAATATCGTATTATATCACAACTACCATATTTTCAGGGTAAATTTAGAAAAAAATTCTCTCCATGTATAAGTTATAAAAATAGAGTATAAAAATACAGTTCTAATATGTGAATTAAACTATATACTACATCAAATTCTTAATAATAAATTGTCACGTGTACACAATTACATACAAAATGCAAAATAAATCAAAGCTAAATAATATTCGTGAAATTAATTTAAATGATATGAAATCTTTATTCATTTTGTTAAATTATTTTCTTTCTACGAACAGCAACGTAATCGACTATAGATGTTAGAAAGTTCAAGATAATTTCTCTTTAGGGTTGCTATTAAGGATCTACAATTGCATTCTTCGTTTAAATGAGTTTAATTGAGCGAAGAGACTGTAAGCAACCTTGCTTTATTATCAGAAATAATAGCACTGTTTTTTTAATTATATCTTTTGCCATGATTTTTATGTTATAAGAAATTTTTATGTATATATGTACTACATTTTTTATGTCTAATGAATTATTGATATAATTCAGATGTAAATTGATAATAATATTATACATCGTCCTTTTTGCAAACGATAATGATAACTTTTCAAAAGGATATACATACTCATTAATTTTATAAAACCCATATTTTTGTTTGCGCAATATTAAGCCGATTTATTATTCTCCTGCTACATTATTCCCTAGAATAATATAATGATAACAACATTATTCATAATTGTATAAAAAATATAGTGTAATTAATATTTGGTTTGTAATATTTATTCATATTATATTTATTTTAATATATTTTAATATGTTTATGTAATACTCCTACTCTGGAGCTTTTACGTCACATTAATTTTTTTTCAGTGTCCTCATTTTCCACTTCACGTCGAAGTTTGTGTGTGTCGTTTTGATCAAATTTGGATTTAAATGTTATTATTTATGAAGAATGATTTATTAAAAATTGGATGCTTTTCAATACTGTTGACAAGAGATAACTGATGCAATTATTGAATATATGAAAATGGCATGTATTTTCTTTATTTCTGATATAATCGTCTTTACGTTAAATACAAAATTAAGGAATTTATCACATCACGCATCTAAATAAAAATATTTTTACAACTTTATTTTTATAGTTACAAATGAAATGCGTAAAAAGTCCTAAAAAAACAAACAATTAAAAATGGCTATGGTAATATAGTAGTGACATCAATAAATGTAATAATAGATAATGGCTGGTGAGGGTGGGACATTCGAAATGATGTTATTTGTGGCAAGATCGGAATAGCAACATATTTTCAATGTGGATCAGTCGGTTGATGGTCCAAAGTCGACTGTTCGCGTCCGTGTTGTCCGAGACTAACCGCGTCCCGACGCTTGCGCCGCAGGTTCCACGACTCCGTTAGACGGCGCCCCGACGCTGGTACCGTCGGACGGAGCGATCGGTCGGGCCAACAGTCAGCCTCCAGTGAGCCAAGCAAGCTCTCTTTTCCTCCCTCACGTTCCCCCGTCACATATACATGCACACGTATACACAGGATACACGCAGGCACACAACTACATACAAAAACGCAGTTACATACACACGTACAGGTACACGCGCACGTACATTCTCTCTTTCTCTCTCTCTCTCGCTCTTTCTTTCTCTCTCTCTCTCTCTCTCTCTCTCTCTCTCTCTTTCTCTCTCTCTCCACCAACATCCTGCGAGTCTCCATCCACCGAACGACACGAGAGGGAGTTCGAGTTCCTGGCTCGTCCCTCACGGCTGCAGTGCGTTTCCAAACACCCATGAGACAACCTCGAACTACTCGTACGCACGCACGCACGCATGCACACGGTATTGAAGAGACACGAGGATGAAACGATCGAGACGTTCCCAAGGCTTCTTATAATTAGTGCTAAAAAGTCGACGAGTTGGCCGCTGGACAGCCAACGACACGCGACTGTGTCATTGATATCAATACAAATTTGTTTTTTCTGCCCCTATTTTCCGTCTGTTGGATTAATTGACTGTCGTATTAATCCCTCTGTCAGTATCTGCGAGATATCCAAATGATGATGAAAAGCTTCCACTCATAAACTCGAGTGAATTGTGTTGACTGTTGAAGGACTGAGAAGTTATATGTGTGCGTCGGGAAGACCCCATGAGACCAATTGTGCTCTCAGTCGAAGTACGCGAATTGAATCTCATCCCGATAATGTTATTTTGTAACGTATCCGATTCGCAGCTTCATCTTTGGTGCTGAAGTGTTTGAAACACGGATAAAGAAACGATCTTTTAGAGTTTTAGAAATGCAATGTTGAGAATATAGTGTAGCATCGTGACTCGATTGAAGATTTTTACGTGAGTCATACCGACTTATATTTGCTCCGGATACAGAGAGAGGAAGTTTACATACACGGAAATAACAATTTTCGTAAAAGATAAGACGTACTCCGTCAGAGGCGAAATGTCTCTGGTAAAGGGAAATCTCCGATACTGTCAGAGCCGAAGAAAAAGGTAGCACTGTTAGATTGTTAAACGGAGATCAAATCAAAAACAGAGCTAAAAGTATCAACTTGAAAAAAATTAAGAATTATCGATTAGTTCAAGTTGCACGTTGCGAGATAGAGAAGCTTTCATCTCTTACAAATCGGATGAAAACAAGTTCGCGAAGACAAATTGGAGAAGAATTCTTTTCTCGTTTACCACGTCAAAAATCAAATTCAGGAATAGTTAAAGTGAAGGGATTCGAAGGGATGTTCGATAGATATCATGAATTACTACTGAAAATCTGAGTATTGCGGAGCAACGAATGGCATCTCGTTTCGAGACCAAGAAGCGACATTGATGAAATAAACATTTTCATATTAATTCTTATTGTCAAGGCTATTTTACAACAGCCGTACGTAGATCGTTGAAAATCGTGAGTGAACTTATGAATGGATCTACTTAATCTAATGACCTAGTGTCGTATGAAGGAGGGTTAGAACGAGAGACAAGGAAACGGAACGTGTTGTTACAGCGTAATGAGCTCTATAATGTGTAAATAGGTGTACATACGAGAAAATTCTTATATTATATTAGCGCGCGCGATTTCTTTAAAGCAAAAGAACGATTTTACGTCATTTAGGTTTTTTTCTCCCTCTTGCTCCTTCTCCCTCTCTCTCTCTCTCTCTCTCTCTCTCTCTCTCTCGCTCGCTCTTTCTCTATATATTTCTCTTCCTCTTAATTGTTTGTTCCTATGTATTACAAAATACCTTTATACACATGTCTTGTATTTAATAATAGAATTTAGATTAAGAATATATGCGCTTTTAACTACATACGATTGATAAATTGCTAATTCCGCGTACATTTAGAGAAGTTAGTAAGGCCTGCACATGGCTCATGAGTAGCACTTTTGGACTCGCGTTAATATATATTACATATATTACATATTACGTACAGCATAAATACGTGTACATATTTCTACAATCTATAATCTCTATCGTTCTGATTTTTCTCACTGATTTTGTAGTATTCAAAAGCAGGTCGGAGCAGTACGGGTATCCAGCGCTTAGCCTTTTAGCCCCGGCGCGATAATTAATTAGCTCGCGGGCATCGTTAGAATGAAACAACGTCGAGCCGCGCATAGGACTTGAGGAAAGAAAGCGAGAGAAGAAACACAAATTAAAGTGAAACGAGGAAACTCGCGTTTTCGTCACGAAAGAGGAAACGTACGAACGCATAAATCAATTATCGAGTTTTAAACAAAATCATGTCTCACGATTGTGTCAAAACGGCTGTCATCTTGTAAAAATTACTTTGGGGATCCTAAAAAGAAATTTCTCACGATCATTGGCACTTTCTCAAGAGATCTTTTCTCGCTTCATTTACCTCCAGGCTATGTAGACTGCTCAAGTTTAATATAAAGAAAAGGTAAAAAAAGGGACCAATTTTTTACTCTTATTCTCACAGTCTCTCTCTTTCTCTCTTTCTCTCTCTCTCTCTCTCTCTCCCTCTCTCTCTCTCTCTCTCTCTCTTTCTTTTCTTTTCTATTTCATCTATCTTTCTCTTTCGCTTTCTCTATCTACCTTGATACTCTTAATCAAGCCCACTGGACTATCTATAAATCTCTGTACACTCTGTCCGTGTTAAGTCTGTTGTGGACCAGTGAATGCAGGAAATACGAGGAATGGAGTCGCGACTCATGCAAGCAATAAATTAGAGACCAACTAAGTATGACCACGGCACTGAAAACGTAACAGAAGTAACGTTACGGCTACAACAGCAGGAAACCGAAGGTGTCAGTTACGCCGAAATTAGCTAAATTTAAGCTAAACTAGATTCTAAAAGATTTGGTCCAATAGAGGAAAAAAAGGTGGTTAATAATTATCAAAAATTAGGAAATTTTAAACGCACTTTGTTAGTCGCGCTAAGGAAAATTAATTATAAACGTGAGTGTCGTGAATTCCAAAATTACGCGTGCAAAGTAGTAATATCAAAATTTTCACCAACTTGAGTAAAAGAAACCTCTGAGCAAAGAAAAAAAAAAAAAGATTCTTTTGATTAAACTATCGTGATTCACGTCTTAAAATACGCATCGATTACAGTGGGAACAAGCTCTACCAACAAAGTTGGTTCCGCAAATCAAGTTTGTTTGATCCGAAAAAATAATCTTCAGCGAGAGACAACGGCTTCCAGAACGAGCCGAGAGGACGAAGAAGAACACGTGTGGACGTATTTACGTATTCGACAACGATGGCATTATCCTGAAACGGGCATGACGCCCTTGGCCTCGAGATGCGACGAGACTACCACCCTCCTACTGTTGCTGCTACTCGAGCTGGCACCCGGGGCACGTTGCTATTCGCGCGCGGCCGCAACCTCCGCTTCGTCTTTACCGAGATAGCATTTACAGTCCCCGGCGAGGGTGCGAGTGATGCCGCTTCTCGGCAGCATTATGACCATCGCCGTCGATAATCCGACAACGGCGTCCACGAGCGTCTTTGAGGGGAACATGACGTGGTCTCGACCAATCACTGGTGGCTCTACGTTTCCGAGTAACGAGGCCCTTTCAACACGTGCGGTTCCGAACGGTAAGCAACGTCGGCGTCCAGCCGCGACAGCTACCAGTGGTCGTGTTAGTCGCCTCCTTAGCGGTAAAGGTGCTGAGAAAGGCTCAAGCAAGAACGCTGCTAAAAACAACGAAAAACACATTGAGAGAGACGATAAAGACGAACGTAACAGCACGACGACGGGAAAAGAGGGCGTCGAGGCAATAAAAAAGGAAGCTTCCCACCATTGCGATCAGACTTCAGTAACTCAAATTTGCGGCAGAAACACCGTAGGCGCGGCAAAGAGTGGGGAAACTGTATTTACTGGTGAAGAAAAGGGGACAGGGCTAAGTACTGGGGGTAGCGGCAGTGAACAAAGTGTTGATAGCATAAGCAGTACTATCGATAGTGTAAGTGTGAGTACAGGTGTATTAAACAGCACGGAGGAGGAAGTCGCGATCGAATACGGGAAGGATTTGTTGCTCTTCGGTTTTAGCGACACAATGGAAGACACAATTAATTCGTTTAACGATTCGTTTAACGGAAGCTTCCGTCATCCCTGGAATATTAGTTTGTATAATAACGAGACTTTAATTATTTTGGGGGGTATGTACCCATCAGGATATACTCTCCCACATATTATATTGGCGTCTATCCTTGCGACGCTACTAATGATCGTAATCGTTGTGGGAAATATGTTGGTAATAATTGCCATAGCTACGGAAAAAGCACTCAAGAACATACAGAATTGGTTCATAGCCAGCCTTGCAGTAGCGGACTTTTTTCTTGGTCTCGTGATCATGCCATTCTCGCTCGCTAATGAGATCATGGGTTACTGGATCTTTGGGTATTGGTGGTGTGATATTCACTCTGCCATGGACGTGTTGTTGTGTACGGCCAGTATCATGAATCTGTGCCTAATCAGCTTAGATAGGTTTTGGAGCATTACACAAGCAGTCGACTACCTGAAGAAAAGAACACCAGCTAGAGCCGCGCTTATGATTGCCCTCGTCTGGATACTATCGGCGCTTGTTTGTATACCACCGTTACTCGGATGGAAAAGACCCACTCCGGAGGAAGAATATCCTAAATGCGAGGTAAGTTACGATGTCAACTTAAAAATTAAAGAATTATTATTTTCTTAGTTACTCATTAATTATCAATTATCATCTTGACTTAACTACGTAATCTGTTATCGATGTTATCGATGAATAAAATTAATATCAAACACAGATAATTATGTAAGAATTTTAAATTGTATGTAAAATTGTAACAAACCATTATCAGACATTATATTGAGATATAGAAAATTAAATTATATATATATCGTATTAGGTTCCTCTAATAAATCGAAAAATTGAAACATTACTGCGAAAATGGGGAAATATCATCTGTACCTTCAGTTTATTTATCTTTTTTTATTAATATATTTTTTATTATGAATTGTTGCATAAGGATTATTACAGCGAAGAAAACAGTAATTCGAATTCAGGTGCTTTATAAACAGTTATGAAATGTACCAGATAGAATTTAATTTTCAGTCGTTAACTCCAGTAATTATAATGAATACAATGAATTCTATTTTCCGTAATAATTAATAATTGTATTGTCCTATAGAGTGATGTTAAAATTATATATCCAAGTGTAATTTTAAATTCCTTTATATAAATATATTTTGATACATTTTATAAATAATTTGACCTATGAATGATTAATACTTATTATATATATATCTTCCTTAAAGTCTTTTTGATAAAAAAAAACCTAGTTTTTTCCAAGGTTAGTGTATTTTTGTAATTTTGAATTTAGTAATAAACTATCTGACATTGAACACATAAGGATACTCTTTTTCTTTTGCAAAAGGACAACGTTAATGAACAAATAATATTTAAATAATTTAATAACAATTGAAAGATCGTACTGAGTATATCGTATCAAGTTTATATATTTTTGTGAAACGTTCAATTAAGAAATATTTTCTTTAAATGTAATGTTTCTAGTTTTTGGAACATTATATAAGAAACTTTTTATTTTAATTTTTTTAACAAATGCAAATTGTTGAAAAAAATTTTTTTAATTTTGTTTCCTATTTTTATTGTAATTTTTTTATTAATAAAGATGCATATATTTGCGTACTACCGTTACATTTCTGGAGTTTCGATTTAAAAAAATTGTTACAATATGTTTATTTTTATGAAAATTATAAACAATCAAAGTTAAATTGGATATGTCTCCATCTCACTGAATGTTGTCTTTATGTGAAAGTAATTGTAAATGTAACGTTTAAAAATGTGTGTTTGCGCGTGCGTGCGTGCGTGTGAGTGTGTATAGGGTGTTCCGAAATTTGCAAATCAAACTACAGTAAGAAAGTTTTCAAAATTTAAATGAAATAGTTATTTGTAAATTTTTATTTTAAGTAATAATTTGTGAAATAATAAGGGTAATATAAATAAACATATAAATAATATAAATATGTCAATTAGGATTACGTTTGGTCGGACTATCTTTAAACATTGAAAGCGTACTTACTAATACTGTCGCATGATTCATAGTGGTCATCTATAATTTAAACGTAAGCTATAATGGGCTATATTTAAATCGTTATATCTCAAAAACTATTTGAAAATGTACATATAACCTTTTTACTTAATTTTTCAAAAATTTTCTTGTTAGTATTTTGATCCACGAATTTCGGAACATCTAACACACACACATATACACACACACACAATACATATGTTCATGTACAAAGATAGTAGTGTAATTATTACATAAAAGATGAAGCGTTAATAAGCATAATTCTTTTAAAAAAGAGACTATAGGAAAAAGTATACAGAATTTGAAATGGATTTTATATCTTTAAAGTCTTTTTTATTCGCGTATTGCTAAACAGGTGAGTATATAGTCAAAAAGGCAGAATCGTATAGTCAGTATATAACCAATTTCCAATCCGAGTATTTTCGATATATCCTGTGGATACGAAGAGAAAGAAAAGAATAAGATGAGAAGTCCAGTCAGACCCGTTGCCTTTTATGAAATAGCGAAACCCATCCTTAGCCTCTTGAATCCTGTTCACGCTGATCTCCACAAAACGATACTGTGAATTGGATTTCTATGCGCGACAGTTCGGTCTGACATGCTGAAATTCGCGTCGTTTTTTATTATCTTGTATCATTTACGTAAACTAGACATTTGTCATTGAATATTTTTATGAGATTGTTTAGAATTCTAATATGATAAAAAATATAATATGTTACAATTACAGTTATCTAAATAATTACCATAGATATAAAAATTTTAAATATTGAAGTATTATAGTAAATGGTCGTTTTATTAAAATTATTTCATAATTATAAGATATATGAATGCTTTCTATAAATTTTTGAAATTTTTCTTGTCATTTGAGAAATTAGAAGATTATGTCTTTCTGCGATTTATATGCAGCTTCTTATTAACGGGAAATACATAATCTATTAGAAAATAAAAAGTGCTTTTGGCGCTATTACAATATAATTGCACGCGCTGGCGCATGATTAAATGCATCCTTAAAGTTCCAACGGAACTAATTAGAGGGTATAATTGAGCCATACATTCCTACAACGTATAGTGGCAAAACTTGTTTGCTATACGAATCGCTAATATGGATTACAGCGTCTTGTAAATATTGAAAGGGAGAGAATTAAAGAGAGACAGAGAGAGAGAGAGAGAGAGAAAGAGAGAATGTGTATGTATGTATGTATGTATTTTATATGCATTTATACGCGTTTATTGTTTTTGTTCATGTCTACATAAAATACATTCCAAGCTCAATAACAGTAGTTATTGTTAAGTGAGAAAACTGATCGCGTATCTTTCTCATTAAACTGTAACTTCCATAATGATGAAGCATTACATACAACTCGAGAATCTATCTACTTAAAATAAAAATTGTTAATTACATTAAAAATTATTATTATTGTTATATATTAAATAGTATTATACATACATGTATATTAAAATTGGCGGAAAAATAAAGAAATAGAAAAGGGTAAATTCGATCACGAATAAAGTTTAGTTTCTTCACCTCGTATTTGAATGAAGCAGCATATCGTGACGATAGTAGTGATCATTACGTGCACGAAAATCATGTCCATCAGAAAGATACGATGAGTGGTAAATGAAGATCTTGAATACGTCGACCGAAAATGAAATATGTCACTTAAAGATCAGTTGGATTTACAAATGACACGGTCTGCAAAACGAGTTGAAATTCAATTCTTGATCGTTGGTTTGGTTGACCTGTTATAAATATATACTGTTGCAATGTCAGTTCTAAATATCATATTAAATTATAAAATTAAACTGAAAAAACTGAATGTATTAAATCTAAACTAATATAAGATAAAACTAATTCTATCTGCATTATTAATAAAAACAGAGTTATCATACAAATAGTGACAAAGGGTCGTTATTTAATTACATGACAATTAAAGCATTATAAAAAACATAAGATTTAAAATATCTTTTTTTCTTTTTACTATTATCTTTTAAATAGAAAATCCTTTTAATACTTTCTTTTAAGAGAACGTTCTGATGGACGTTCAGATGATACATGAACATCTGTTAAACCACATCCTACTATTCCTTTTTGCTCTATCACTTTCTACTATACACGCCATTATGGATCAATAATCTTGTTTCACAATTTCTTGTTCTTTTTCACATCCTTTTTTCTTATTTAACGAAAGATGTGACACGAGGTTCTTTCAATCGACAATATTGGATTTTTCTGACTAATAACAAATGGAAGAGCGACAAGCACTACGCGACCGGAAAAGGTGGACCGCAATCGCAATCATCGCGGTTTAATCTTTTAATACGATTAGATTGACGCTTTTTAGCTATTAACAAGGACGAATGGAAAGCGCGATTTGTCTTCTTCACTGTTATCCGCTTATCTTTATTTCACGAAGCTTAGCACGACTACTAAGAAAATAATACACTTCGTCTTGTATTAGAACGAGGTTTCATTACACAAAACAGTCTAGAAAAATAATCGAATGTTTAGTTACAGATTTCGTGATAAAATTGGTTTTTCTTTGACGAACATAATTGATGAAGATAAATTGATAATTTACGAATTCTTTTTGTAAAATTTATGCTATATTCTATTGAGTAATACTTACATTATGCTACATAACAAAAATTATTTAATGAGACATTTAACATCTCTGAAAACATCGATATTCTTAATGTGATTACCTATTAGCGATGCAGTAGAAAAATTGTAACTCGATGTTTTCCTACAATCTTCTATATACGTAATTCGAATAAAATTCATGACATTTTACATATGTGAATTATTTTACGTATATACTTCAGTTATTTATGAGTGACACAAATTATGCCTACAAATAGAAATAATATCAAAGAAGAATTAAGCTATGATAAAATCTAGTTAAATACAAAGTTCTGTTTTTGACATATTTTACATCCGAAACGTGAGCACTTATAAAACGTTTTATAAAGTTTACAGCAACCTCCGAAGTATCTGCATTTGTTAGAGAAAGTACGCAAGAAGAGAGAGAGAGAGAGAGAGAGAAGGAGAGAGAGTTAGATGGAATACATTTAGGAAGGAAGTAGTTCTCACTTGTGTCTTTTAATGCGATTAGTTTAGTAGCTTCACATTGATGCAACAACGTGCAACGGAGTGAAAGCTATCGTTTATAATAGAATTGCAATTATCTCTAATAAGCATCGTGTTTGGTATGTGGCTTTTACTTAACAATTGTATCGCAAAAAAAGCGAAAGAATTTTATTTAATTTGTATTTTAATATATTTTTAATACACAATATAATATTTTTTTAAAGAAATATAATTTTTTAACTTCTTCTCTTGATATGAAGCGACATCGAAATCTGTACAAATTTCTGAATATGCGAGCATATGAGTGCATTACAATTGAAAATAGTTTGATAACTATAAAACTTTAAAACTAAAATTTTTTTTTATATGTATTTCTTAAATATGATGTGACATTATCTTTCAAATAGTTTGAAAAAATAATATTTCTTTGTACACATATACAAATTATAAAATAGATATAAAAAAAGAAAT